GTGGCTACCCACGAGGGCGGCGGGGCCGCCTGGCTGACTCCAAGCGGAGACTCCGCTCGTCTGGCTCTCTCGCACCCACACGGGGCGGCCCCATGAGTGCGGGGGGGAACCGGGGGGTGGGGTCCACCCGCCCCACCCAGAAACGACCCTGGAGAACGCCCTGTGCGCAAGCAAGGGCGGCCCGGTTTTCCCAACCGCGAACGAAAAGGGCGTGCTCCAAAAGCCCCCGGGGCCGCGCTACTCCCCCCGAGACCGGTCGGCCTGGGGCCACCCTTGGCCTACGGGGGCGCGTTGCCTCCTCAGGGGGCACAACCGGGGACAAACCCGTCCGGATCACTTTTCGGGCGAAACCATTTTTTTCGCCTCTCTTGAGTCCGAAAAACGTAAATAAGTCTTTTTTACATAAAAAAAGGGAAAGGTGTACTCCCCGACCTGAATGGCACCGCGCGGTGCCCCCCGCTACTCTGGCAGTCCTAGCCGCGAGGGGGTGTGCACTACCGCAAACCTGTTTACTTAGAACACACAAATGCTTACCTGCATGTGCACTCTTACAAATGCTTACCTGCAAGTGCACACTTACAAATGTTTTTTGCCTGCAAAGGCCGCAAAAACTACCAGTGACGGATCCAGAGTCGGCCAAGAGTGAGGGGGGGGCAACGACACTTTTTTGCCTTTAATAGGGGGGGGTGTGTTTTAGCACTTTGGCGGTTTGGGGGGCTAAGACCCTTTGCAAGGGTTTCCCCAGACCCCGGACACTTACAAAAATGTTACCACATTTACACACTTTAAAGGGCTAGGCCTTGTTTCGAGGAGTAATAAAGGGTGAAGTGTTAAGAGGCCGAAAAATGCTCTGCAAGCCCCCCTTCCCTGAAAAAAAATACTAAGAAACGAAGGCCTTCTAAAAATTTTACGAAGATTTCCGTTTTTCACTGGGAAAAAAACTAAAAAACCAAAGGGGGCCTTCCCCAAAATTCTTAACCCCAAGGGGAAAATTTTTTTTTCCCCCTTTCCCGGGTTTTATTTGGGGGGGCCCAAAAAATCCTTTTTTTTGGGGGGCAAACCCCCCTGAACAACGCCTCGTCAAGTTCTTCACAGTTACGAAGCAAAAACTATAGAGATTCTTTTGAGTGTTGCAGAGTCGCGTTTTGTCGGAGTAGAAGCACCGCATCGCCTCTCACTCAGCAAGAGTGGAGTGACCCCACCTTTGTCACTGACATCAAAATAAACGTGCGATTCAGAACAATCTTTTCGAAAGCGCCATCAATTTCTGCGTTAAAATAACACGCTTTGACGTGATCCTGACTTGACCTGTCGTCCTTGAGTGATTGCAATCCTCTAATCTTTCCCTCTGTGGCTTGTGCCTCTCTCTCTCTTTCTTTTTCTCCCAAAACCAAACCACCAACAAACACACACACACCAACACACACACACCTAAACCTTCACACACTCATACACACACACACAAAACACAACACACACCAACGCGCCGCGTCGGCATGCCAGTAAGAAGGGACTGCGCACGGTTTAAGACCGGCAGGGCGGACTGGCCGCCGGGCGCCCGGGGTCCCGGGGGGCCCAGCCCGGCCGGGGCCCCCGCCATTCGGGGGGCCCGGTGCCGGAAAAACAGAGCGACAAAACTCCAAATCAGCATTTGCGGCTTAAAACGTGGCCCGGCTCCAGCTCGCTTCGCTGCCAAATGTCTTTGTCACTTTGGAAGGCGCTCTTCTTGGACCCGCCGGGACGCCAAATGCCCCGGAGACCCAAGCGGAATCGCTTTTTTTAAAAAGTTATTCTATTACCTTCTCTATTAAAAAAAATAACCGGTTTTCCCCTTTTTTCAAAAACCCCTTACCAAAAAACCTTAGGAAAAACCAAAAAATAAACCTAAACCTAAAAAACTAATTTTCTTTAACCAACCTTTTAAAATCCAAACCGCCCGCCCTGACCCTCCCCTTAGGCTCCCGGCTCTTCCCCAGGCCCCAGGCGCGGCCGTTTTGGCAATTAAATTTCCGGCCGCCCGTCCCGTTGTCCGCGGGACTGATTCGGAGAGCTTTTTCGTCGTCGTCTCTTTTGCCCTACGGACCCCCCAGAGTGCGGAGAGACAGAGCGACAAAAAGACTCCCCGAATAGTTGCCGCTGCGGCCGGAAACGGCCCTCCCCCAACTCGGCTCGGCCTTTTTCGGAACGGCTTTTCCGCGTCGGCTCCCCTTTAGATTGGAGAGGCGCGGCCGGGCGGACCAGGGAAGGACAGAGGGGGGATCTCCAAAAGTTCCCCGTCGCAGGGGTAACTCTCAAATGAAGGTTCTCGCTCAGGTGAACTTAAAGTACACCACAGATCAATAGAGGGGTAACTCAAGTGCCCGCTGAGTAACTCTACAATGAATGCGGTACCATCTACAGTGAAACCCTTAGTACACACTACAGATGCATACTTGGCGGTACATTTAGAGGGTTACTCCCCAAGTATGCATTTTAGATGGTACTTGATACTGGGCATTTATATGGTGAAAAGGTACACACCTACTAATGATACTTGCCAAGTATGCACCTACAGAGCATATAAAAGGTAGCATCTGTAGGTGTGTACTTATAAGTATGCATCTGTAGACGCACACTGAGTACACACTTCAGTTTGTAGAGTATAAGTGCGACCTTTTGCCTACCTTTCAGGTGACTTCACTGGCCACGGCGACGCCCCCCATCCCCCTGCCGCTGGGCCGCAACGTCGGTCGAGGTTAGGCCGTGCACTAGCGACGCGTAGCTACGCCTTGTTAAGGGGCCTGTCCGAGGGGCCGCGCGCGCCCACCCTTCCACAGTCATGCATAAATTTTGACCTCGCCTCCGGCGTCAGGGTGCGCAGTCCGCCAAAGACTGCCGCCCCGAGTCACAGGCTCAGCGCCGCCCCGCGCCTTGAGGAGGGCCTGAGACGAGGCTAGGCGGGGCCGGCCCCTTCCCACGACGCCCGCGGGTTCGCGCCGCACGCTGTGCGCCGACATCGAGGCCGATCCCTGGCAAAGAGTGCTGTCGATGTGTGTGTGTAGTGAATACTCTTGTTTTTGTGGGGGTGTTTTTTTGGGGTTGTGTGGTGAATACTCTTGTGCGTGTGGCGCGGGTGCGCGCCGGCTGTGCGCTCGCTGTAGCATTATTGTCATCTGCTTCGATCGCCGCCACGGGCGACCACCTGGCAAGCCAAAAACAGCACATGCGCCACCGCGAGCCATCAAAGGCCACTCGATCCCCGCGTCGACCCTCCTTTTTATTGTTTATCGGCGAAACGAAGTCTCGGGAAAGTCCAAGATCGTTAACGAGTCACATGTGACCCAGAAGGCCCTCGAATTTCTATACAATGAGGATCAAGTTAAATGAAAATTAGTCAACATAACAAAATTTCAAAAGATCCTTTGAGTCACTGCGTCTTCAGGTCTTGCCGTTGACTCCTGGTAAAAAAATTTTGGAAGTCCATTTCAAAAGTTATTACTCATGCAGTAGTCTGGTGTAGAAGGCCAATGCGATTAAATCTGTCCAAATGTGCACGATTCGAAAGTCTCCTTTCCAAAAAGAGAGTGGAAATCTGTATTCTGTACTAAAATGGCGAAAATGTGAAGTTTTTCGTACGAAAATTGTACGAAAGTTTCGTGGTCACAAAAAAATGTGATGTCTCGTACAAATTTGTACATAACATTTGTGGAACAAAAGGGGTTAAGTGGTTGTTGTGTTTTTTCTTAACAAAACTGGGTTTGGTCCGAAAAAAAATGGGTGGACAAGCCATCCTCTTGATCTTTTTTGAGCACCCCCCGCTCCCCAGCAGGGTTTCCCAAAACCGGTTTCGTTTCCTTTCCCCTTTTGGCATTTTTGGGCCCTTTTCCGTTTTGGGGTGTGGGGCGTAAACACACCTGGGGGGGGGTGGTGGCCGGCGAGCGCGGTTGGACCCGGAAGGGGCGTCGAAGCGCCCCGTTGGGCTTCCTTCCTCACCCCGGCCCTGTACAGGCGATTCCCACCCCCGGTTTGTTCCCCCGCTCGTCGCACAGGGCCCCCCGTGGGGAGTGAAGAGACGAGCAAAAACGACACATTTGGCCAAGGGAGGGCCCTGGCCCAGACGGGCCCGAATAATGGGTCAACAAGCCGGGTTTTAATATCCCCCCTTTCTTCTCTTCCCCAAGGTCCATGGAACCCGGTCGATTTGTGCCCTGGTATTCCCGGTTCCCGGAGCAGACGCATACAAGTTTTAACAAAGGACACAGTGGGAAAACCCCAAATTTACCATTTGTAAAAGTTCTGCCAATCCCCCCCCCTGAAAAAAATTTTTTTGCAATAAGACACGGTGAAATAATCGTTCCTGTCGGGTTATATGGGCTGGGGATTAAATTTCAAAAGGCCGGTAAAATTTGGGCCTTGGAAATTTTTAACCATTTGAAGAAACAACAGCCCTTTAACAAAATTTTTGCAGGATTAATGAAAAAGAAAAAAACGGGAGGTTTACACACTGGTTACAGTAAAAGTTCTTGCCGGACTTAATACCCAGCATGGAACAAAACAATGACTTCATAGCTCACGTTGAAAGGAACACAGGGTGCACAATGCAGGTCCGTTCCATGTACAGCATTATTATTTTGAGCATTAGCGAATCATTTGCAAAATAAGAAGAAAACCCGGTTTCATTTGGCGCACTTTGTGGAAAAAATATCACATTATGAGAGAGACGTCAACACGCAACTCGTTTAACAAAATTTTTGCAGGAAATTAAGTGTAAAGAGAAGTAGCCCTCAGCATTTTGTCCTTACAATCACTGCTATACACCTCTCCGCAAACCTCGTACGTTATAAAAGACTTCGACTTAGTTGAAAATTAAAATAAAGGTTCCACAACTTTTGATTTGAGGCTCATTTGTAAACTTAAAAGCAAACAATTTGGAACAGTAAAAACTATTTTCCATACAGAATTTTCAGTATTGCGAATGTAGAAAAAAAACAGAGAAAAATAAAATAACTTGAACCGTGCGCTAAATAAACAACAAACTTCAAAATCAAACGAAATTAAAGTTCTTATCAGCCATCTAACATTAGGCACAGTGTCATCTGCTTGTCAAGTATTGCAATACATCGGATTACGAAATAAAATAAAACAAAATATCAGAACCAAATTACTACCCACGGCGTTCATGCCTTCACCAAATGTCGACCGAAACTTAAAGGCTTCCCAACAGCACGGGAATGGTAGAGTTTTCAGCGGAAGCTGGTTAAAAGCGCATACCGGGCATTCAAGACATCTTCGCAGTGTGGGCGCGGATGTGGTGCCGGAGGGAAGCCATGTGCTTAAATTTCTTGGTGCAAACCGCACACTCGAAGGGCTTCTCACCAGTGTGCGTCCGAATGTGTACACGGAGGTTTGACGATGAGATAAACTTCTTACTGCAGACTGTGCATTCAAACGGTTTCTCCCCGGTGTGCGTAAGCAGGTGCCTTTTAAGGCTTCCTGTGTCAAGGAACGTTTTCATGCAGACCGTACACTCAAAAGGCTTTTCTCCAGTGTGGGTGACGAGGTGCTTCTTCAGGGCGCCTCCCATACGGAACTTCTTCATGCAGACCGTGCACTCAAAAGGCCTCTGTCCAGTGTGCGTCATGACGTGCTTCTTCAGAGTTTTTCCCGTACTGAACTTCTTTGTGCAAACCGTGCACTCAAAAAGCTTTTCGGTGTGGGTGACGAGGAGGTGCTCCTTCAGGGATTGAACATCGCGAAAATCCCTCATGCAGACCGCGCACTCGAAAGGCTTCTCTCCGGTGTGAATGAGAAGATGCCTTTTGAGCGTATCTCTTAGACTAAACTTCTTCATGCAGACAGTGCACTCGAAGGGCTGCTCTCCGGTGTGGGTGCGGAGATGCATTGTAAGTTGTCCTTTCTGAGAGAACTTCTTCATGCAGACAGTGCACTCGAAGGGCTTCTCTCCGGTGTGGGTGCGGAGGTGGCGCGTAAGGAGTCCTCTCTGAGTGAACTTTTTCATGCACACTTTACACTCGAAGGGCTTCTCTCCGGTGTGGATCCTTGAATGCACGGATAGCGATGACGACCAGACGAACCGTCGACCGCAAACTGCGCACTGGACTGGCATCTTCTCGAACGTCTGCGAGGGCGTTACAAAAGACGTTGTCCCTGTCAATTGGAGTTACAAGGACAACTCGTTACTGAGAGGGACCATACGGACAACACTGCGACGTTAACAGGACGTACCACGTACCTGGGAAATGTGGCGGTTCGGAGGGTCCTGAGCGACGTGACAAGGAGAGATGAAGTTGGACTAAGAGTCGCGACCTGCAAAGTGAGACGAACAGGGTGTTACAAGGGTGGGTTAGGGTTCTTAAACTCAAGTTCGGCACACGCAGTTGCGGACGGACAAAAGCAGAGTACGATTCGTACCGGGCCTAACCGTCAAGTGAGACGGGGACGGTGTTGTAAAGGCTGGTAAGAACAGTATTGGGCTTGGGACATTCCAAAGTTAAAGTGAGTGAATACACTAAGCTTCAATAGCACACACGCCTCTAAAAATTTCAGTTATTTTTACCAGACAAGAGTCCTAACGGCACCGAAAGTGTAGTCTTTTTTACAAGACGAACGCTAACTATGTAGCAGTGGCATTTTTTTAAGGAATTCTGGTTGGTTGGTTCCTACTTTACTACACATTCTAGTAACTGGCACTAAAATTCTGGTTGCTCATGACTTTTTTTAGTAACTAGCACACGCCACGAACCGCATTCTTGTAAACCCGTGTATATAGAGTACACACAAACACTCTGAAAACCTTACTATTTTCGGCCTTACAAAGAAAAGTAGCTTGCTGATAAACACGGAAAAAGGGAATTCGTTGACCCAACGAAAAAGTTCGTTGTTTCCTTGATTACTGAAAAAATGTGTCCGAGTAACGAAAATTTTGTTGGTAAAACTAGCAATCTGTTAGCGCAACTAACATTTTGCTCCGTGAACGGATTGTTCGTCGTACCAACAGACTATTCGTTCCATTCGGTATCACGGAATCAATGAAAATTTCGTTCGATCAACGAATTACTTTTTTACCGTGAAGCATTTAGAGCGTCCATAAGCTTACAACGGCAATGATTCATCATCTACTAACTGTATCATTCGTAGAACAAACTAAATAGTTTGTAGCTTACATATTTGCTCAAAATACTTTGTTAGGTTCTACCGATGGAAAAATTTTGTGGGAGGACCAAAAGTTTTACTGCCCAGATTTGTGTACTGAAATTTCCGTACCCAAATTTGGGTGCAGGACCGGTATTTTTGAGAGGGGGGGGAGACGCGTGACGCAGCGGCCCGCCCCGCCTTTTGTGTCGTCGCCATGGTCCAGCCGCGGCGAAAAGTGGTATCGTGTTTGCAGTATTTATTACAAGAACTGGACGGCCAGTGCCACTCCACTGGCGGCCACATTGTCCAGGGCAACAATACTTTGGCTTTAAACTTCAGGAGCTTTGCCTGCGCGGCCGCCTGTCTCGCCCATTCAGCGCCGACCCCTTTCTGTATCCAATCCCTTCCTATCCCTTCCGCTAATCCCAGCGGCGCATTCAACCTCCTCGGCGACACATCCAGTCGAGCGGTTCGTCGCTCTGTCTCCCTCGCACCCTCAGGAGAGCCACACGAGTGCGACAGAGACAGAGCACAGTGGGCCAGAAGACCGGTGGAGGCGGCCAAAACTCTAGACGAGTTTTGAGCTCCAGAGTCGCTACATGGGACTCGAACCGAGCGTGTGACCCCACCAACGGCTTCCTCGTTCAAGGAGCAATCCATTGGTGGGGTCACACGTTCGGTTCGAGTCCTGTTTAGCGACTCTGGAGCTCAAAACGCGTCTAGAGTTTTGGCCGCCTCCACCGGTCTTCTGGCCCACTGTGCAGAGCGACTCTTCTGAATCGCAGCTCGGCCCTTTAATAAACTGACCCGACCCAACTTGTCCCTGACAGCAATATGAGCCGGGCCGCGACCTCGCAGGCTGACCCCTGAAAAATGGGGGGAAAAGGCCGGCGACTGGTTTAAGGTTAGCCATTCTAAACGTCCGTAACTTATGCAGAGTCGCTTTACTTATGCGGCGGGCCGCAACCTCCACCGAGAGCTCCCGCTAGCGGGCGGACGGAGGCAGGGCTCGGGCAGGGGGAGGCACGTCGGGCAGACAGGCCACATTCCGCACGGTGCCCCGTCGCTCTAGCTCTCTCACACACCCACAGGGCGGGCCCGTGCAGTGCGACGGAGACGCGGCGACGACAGGTCTCTTCGAAAACAGCCCGCAGACCCGGCCGGCAGCCTTGCCATATATTTTTCCCCTCATGCTGCTATCTATCCCTGCGCATCTGCACCTCATTCCTGGTGCCCGTCTCGGCCTTGTTGGCACGCCAGCCCAGCGTCTCAGTCCGGCCAACCACCACACTGGAGGTATGGGCTGCTTTGTCCGCGACGACAAACACGATCAGGCAGCGCAGAAAAAAAAAATATTTAGACTCTCGAAATGCTGTTTCCGGCACTCTCAGCACGTTACTGAGTTTTCAATCCATTTGTCAGTATACTTTCAAGTGATTTGTGCAGACAAAATACGTACACTGTCATTCCAGGAACGTGACATCACGTTGAAACGAACGTGACGACAAACAAAATGTCACGTTCGTTTGAGCATTGTGTCACATTCGTTTAGGTGTGAATTGGCCAAAAATAAGCTTGTTCACATTCAAACGAACGTGACGCAATGCTCAAACGAACGTGACATTTTGTCACGTTCGTTTTAACGTGATGTCACGTTCCTGGAATGAGAGTGTACTTTTCGTTTCTTAAAGGTCTTAAACAGACAATTCCTGAGTATACTTAGGAATTGTTAAATATTGTTCTGACAATTTATTTTCGTTAATAATTTTGCAAAGGAAATTAGTCATAATTGCTTAAAAAATACTTTAAAGTATTACTTTTACATAAAAAATACGTAGTTTACTGTCAAAAACAATGCCTAACGTGCACCTCCAAAATGTAGAGAGTTTTCACCATTATATGGAGATTCTTTACTTTGGAGCGTTCCGGCGGGTGTTCCATGGTACATTTAAACGAAATTAAACGGCAATCGATTAATGAACTAAGGAACGCCTTAAGGCGTTTAGTAGTACATGCACCCTTCTGTAAAATTCGGGATCTAACGGATATCAAAAAATGATGCGTCTGGACGCAGCCGACCGCTCGCCGTCCGGGCGTTGCGTTACGGCCTCCGCCCGGCCACTTAAACTCACACGCACGGAATCTCTCGGCAGCGAGCGCAGCAGAGTGATTCCGAGAGTCGTTTTCGTCGCTCTGCCTCCCTCGCACCTGTACGGAACACCCCTTGAGCGCAACAGGGACAGAGCGACGAAAACGACCCTCGGAATCAGTGTGCTGCCCATTCATCACGCGCGGTGTCACGAGGCGCCTCGAGCGTTACACTTTCTCTTTCATAAAACATCTGCGAGTGAATGAGGGCCTGGAGTCCGAATAACCGTCCACGTGGTTTTGCTGCTGACTTTCTCGCACTCAACACTGGTAAAACTAAAGCGTAACTGTATGCTTGAGTCAAGCATAAAGTTACGCTTGAAGACGTTACGCTTGAAACTCTGGAAATTCCCCCATGCATGTAGGTAGGGGGAATCTTGGCGAATGAGCCTGTTACGCTTGATTTCGAACGTAAACTGCTTACGCTTGAAAACAGAGGGTAATACTACGTTATAGTTTTACCAGTGAAGGAGCCTCCCGATGCAGCACAGTCAAGCAGAGTTCAGAATCACCCCGCTGCCTGCAGACTGATTCCGAGAGTCGTTTTCGTAGCTGTGTCTCTCCTGCACTCATGGGGCGTGCCGGAAAGATGCGAGAGAGACAGAGCGACGAGAACGACTCTCGGAGTCAGTCTGCTGGAAAACGGCGCGGGCGGCACCGGCCGGGGTGACTTGCAGGGCAGGTATAGCAAGCGGTCGGTGCACTGGTTGTCCACGCAGTTGGACGTCTCCGCAACGTTTTACGATTTTCGCAAGTCATCAGGATGGCTGTCGTGCCAGCATTTGAGAGAATCGTGTCGGAAGCAACCCGGCCACTTCTGCGACACTTCAGGTAAAACAAAGACGAGGTAATAGCACTGTGAAAATTTGGGTCGTCACTTGATGGCAATTTCAAGGCTAATTTTCCTTACAAGAGTGTTATCAAAAGATTTGATGAGATTGTTTTCACGCCCATGCAATAAGTATAGGACCTTTGACGAAAATGTCATCAACTTGTGATGAGACCGTCATCATTTGGAAGTGATGAAAATATCATCCACGATTTTGTTAAAACCCCCCCCCGTCCGCGTGTTCCAAGGTTTTTTTTTCCCCAACATAGGGGCTGGGAAAAGTAGGGAAGGGGAAAAGCCTCTGGAAATCGTAAAACGGACCCAGGGGGGTTTTGAAGGCGGGGGGCGTGGCCGCCGGTGCGGGGGGCCGGGCCGGGCATTACTCCCGAAACGAACTTTTAACAGGGGAGGGGGGCCGTTTTTTTGGGCGGGGGGGCCCCCCTTTCGGCCCCTTTTAGGAAAAAAAGACGAAAAAAACCCTTTAAAAATTTAGTGTCCTCCTTTTTACTTTCAAGGCTTTTCCTTAAAATTCATAAAAATTTGGGTTTTTTTTTTCCCCCTATCAATAATTTAAGGTTTGCTGCTAATTTTGATAACCCGTATTTTTAAAGGTAAAATTACCCCGATTTTTATAAAGTCCCAAAAAATTTACGGGGAAGGGGAAATTTTTCTGATTTTGAAAGGATCTTGGGAGGGAACTGTTGCTTTTCAAATAATCTTACTTGAAAGAGGAAAAACCCCCCTAATTAACAAAAAATTAAAGGGCAGAACCGTAACGGTTCGGAAAAAACCGCCGAAATGATTCGAATTTGGTAGCCCAAAAAAACTCATGGGCTAAAAAATGAAAAGGGAACAAAACGGGAGGGCTCCGAAACTGCTGGGGGGGTTTGCGGCCCGGGCCCCCTCCCTCAGATTTGGGCTTTGTTTTTTGGTTTTTAACTTTTTTTGAGGTTCAACTTTTTCGTTTGCAAGTCAAAAAATTTTTTTCCCTTCGGGACATTAATTTTTTTTTCCCAAAAAAACCCCAAAAAATCGCGATAGGAACCAAGAGATTACGGTGATTTGGGGATTGTGGCATCAGGTTTTTTCAAAGGGTTTGGTTGGGGTTTTTAAAAACCCCCCCGGATTTTTTACCTTGGGTTCTCTTTTGGGGGTTAGCCCCTAAAACCCCATTTTTTTTAGGGAAAAAACCCACTTTGTTAGGACAATTCCAGGGGTAGAATAAAAAAATTTTGGGACTTTTTAAAGATACATTTGAGAATCGTTATTTTCAAAGAACCCCATTAATTAGGTTTTTTTTTACTTAATTTGAAAAAAACAAATTTGCAGAACTGCAATTTACGTCCCCAAAATTTTTGGGAATAAACGAATTTGGAAAAATTTCTGTTATGCGGCTATTTTTAGAAAAATGGATTTTCCCTATTTTTTTTATCGCAATTTGCACAAAAAGTTTTTTTAAAAAGTTGCCTGAAACTGTCCAAAAGACGGAAAATTTGAAGCAATTTTTCCTTTTCAAATGAAATTTCGGGAAACTTTTTTCCAAGAGAAAAACAAGCAAAAAAAATTTTTTTGCCTTATTCCCTTAAAAGGAAAAAAAATGGAAACGAAAAAAGGGGTTTAAGTTGAAGAAAATATTTTTAAATTAAAAAAAGGGGATGTCGCATTTTGTTTAGGCTTCGGGGTCAGTTTTCGACAAGAATTTTTAAAAATAATCCCGGACAGTGAGGTTCGCTCGCTTAAACGAGGGATTAGAGAGTAAAGGCAATGAAGTAGAATTTAAGAAAAGGTCCTGAGGAGTAGCTGGTTCCAACGGAAGATAGAAGGGAACAACGATCGAAAGCGAGATAGAAGGCTATAGTATACTAACTCACCGGCAGAGTGGCGATTCAGACGCTTTTCCTCCCAATTTCCCATACACCGTTCACGTTGCTTTTTGTCAACTCCCGTGCCAACTTCACTCTTGATACCCTGTTACGCTAAGACCATAGCTTCTCTACTTCTATCCAGAGAGACTTTGTCCACTTTCGTGCTAACGTTACTCTAGGTACCGTGTTACGCCACGACCATATCGCTCAACCAATTCACTAAGGGACTTTTGTCAACTTCCATTTGAAATTTCCTCTCGGTACCCTGTTACGCTAAGATCATGCCTTTCAACTTCTTTACTGAGAGACTTTGTCAACTTTCGCTCGGACTTTCCTTGCAGGTACCCTGATACGCTGAGACCCCACTCCGCAAACTCCATCGTAATCAACTCACAGGTAAGGCACTACATTGTTACGTTAAACCGAGCTCTAGTAACTTTTTGCTGCAAAGCCTGTGGCAAGTTTGCTTGCCACTAAATTTGCTGCAAGCCCTTTTGAATGCCACAAATTGGCAAGATCGAAATCCCCATTAACTTGACAGTGTTCGGTGAGCTGGGGAGTATATTAGAACCAGGCCTGCCAAATTTAGCCATTCAAAACAAAGCTTGCCAAATTTGTGGCAAGGAGTTACAAACACTGTGGCAGGAAGAAACAGCGCGACGTTTCCCAGTATACCTCTTACCTCTAGTCGGTCTGCCTGATGGGCTGCCCCTTTCTCCTTTGGACCGTGCAGAGCGGCGTCGCCGTGTTTATAGACAATTCGGAGGGCCCTTGCCTCGGCTGTCACGGATAACGATGGAAGTAAAAGCAAATTACAGTGGAGGGTGACTGTGCACCCGCGGGACGCGAGGACGGGCGGAAGAGGCGCTCAGCACGACCGCCGTGAGGCGGCGGCTGATCGACTGGGTGGCTGAGGTGAGCCACGCACTGAAACAACACTGTCTTCTGTTCAGCACCGCCTGGCCTGCGACTGCCTGCGACCCCGTCCCGACGTACCGGCGGAGTTCTGCACCTGCGTGATCACTGCGGCCTCTGACGCTGACACGGCACCACCGTCAACTTCTCAGGGACCCAGCAGGCAAAGGTAAGTGCCATTCTTCAGTTGTAGGCGATAGATTGGTCTTGTACAGCTATTCCGCAGGCTTGTGTCACACTTGCAAGGATGTGACTAACTCTCACGGTCCGTGTGAATAGACACTTCCAGCGAGGCCTGAAGTGAAGAACAAGAAGAAGAACATAGACCGGAAACAGTTCAAGAAATCGGCCTTTTTCGGGGGTTTTGGCAGGTTTAAATTAAATTGTATTACAAAATTAAGCTTCCTTGAACATTCCTCATCAAGAAATGAGCGTAATTTGGCAACTGTTTCCGGCTTATGTTCTTATTCTTCGCTTCAGGCCTCGCTAGAAGTGTCTATCGTAACACTGCTGTACAGCTTACACTCCTAAAAGCTTGCAAAGATTAGTTCTTCGCAGTGTTCGAGTGGAGAACATGACGCACTGCTCTTGCGTACCAGTGTCGTAAATACTGCACGGTATGAACGTTTCTTGGTTTTCCCTGGAAGCCTACTGTAAAGACATGGGCAATTTCCAGGGAGTTCCGGGGAAATCTAGGAATTGACTGTAGCGTGTGCACACTGAAAATCAAATGGTGATACATCTCACTCTCTGAGGGGTGAGACATAACTGTCTCACCGAAAAAGGGTGATACTAAAATGTATCATCGTAAAAACGGTCGTACACGCATGTATCACCAGGGGGTGGCAACGCCCTGCATCTTTCTTGACGCCATGTTCGGCCACCCCTAGCACATCAGTTTACTTCGACGAGATCCAAAGTACTAAGTCTATTAGAGCCAAACTGTTTTGTTATTACGATAATATATGAAATGAGGAAGTGTTTAGGCCAGGTTTCAACTCAAAAACCCAAAAACTTTCCAAGATTTAAAGTTTTGAAAAAATAAGTAGACACTTTTCTTTTAGCGATTTTAACAAACCCAATTTTTCTTTGTTTTTGCGATGCGGTTTCAAGGAGTAAATTGATCGTAAGTGTGCTCTCGTTTGATTATTACTTTAATATGACCTTTTAACTTGATACCCACTCAAGTTTCATTCGTTTCCCTTTGCTGGGTTCAGAGAGTATCTCCTTGAAAAGAACCATGATTTAAGGGGGGGGGGGCCGAACATGGCGTCAACATAGGTGTACAGCGTTGCCACCCCCTGGTATCACCAAAAAAAAGGTAGTACACGAATGTGTCACCGAAAAAGGGTGATCCTTCCTCAGAAAAATAAGGGCCAATCTCGTTGATGTCTCGCCTTTATGCCGGTAATACATTAGCATACGACCTTTTTTTCGGTGATACATTCTTTAACGACCCTTTTTTCGATGATACATTTTGTATCGCCGAAAATTGGTGAGATGTCTCACCCTTTGAATTACAGTGCACAGAAGTTAAACACACATCCTCTTACTGACTCTATCGTCAGTAACCACGCACTATTGCATACAACCATAATAGGCAATGTAGAAAATTTTCTTCTTAGATACGTACAATTTAATGGATAAAATTTAAAAAGGGAAAAGTTTTTGTCAAAAGGTGCCGACAAACATATAAATAATAAATAATTGGCTGAGCGATAGCGAAGCCCGTTACTCCAGTGCGGTTGAAAAGTTTTGTCTGTCTGTCTGTTGTCCGTCTGTCTGTCGTCTGTGTGTGTGTAATACCCCTCCAAAACGGCTCGGCCGATCTGGCTGAGATTTTGCGGGCTTATTAGGTATGTTCTTGGCTCGGCACACGCGAAATTTCACTACCCTACTCAACTGGTTCATTTTTTTATAGCCAAAAAAACACCTAAAAAAACGGCGAAAAATCGAGTTTTGGCAGAAAGATCACTCCTGTCTTGGAAAAAGGGGGGGCCGCCCCCGCCTCGACAAGTTTTTAAAAATGACAAAGGGGCAAGATCGTGTTATCTGTAGATGAAACAACTCTATTTAGAATGTACGGGGGTCTGGTAACCGGGGATGGACAAGCCCAAACCAGGCACTTTTAAAGGTACAGTAACTTTAACTTTCCTTTTTATTCATTGATCCTCAAAAATTTCATATAAAATTTTCTTTGAGTTGAAGTTCGATGTGAGGGCGCCCTCCGATTTCTTGAGTCATGCCCAAAAAATCGGTAAAGGATGCCAGAGTTATTACAAGCCCCTTTAAAAGCAGTGCAAGCATCTGGGAACAACTAGAATAATTGCAGTATTATCGTCTTTCTGACTCTACGTTTCATTATTTTTTGCTCAAGTAATGAACGCAAGTAACCAACCCAAAAGTGATAAATTTTTTTCATCATTTAAATGGAGAAAAGGAGTATTGTCATAAGAAGCACCGGTAAAAGCGATAAAGTTCTATTGAAATGTCAGGCAATTAAAAAATTTAGGACTTGTAACACCTCTGGTAACGCCGCTCGCAGATACCCCCCGGGTCGGTTGGAAAGTCTGCGGACTCGTTGCGTTTACACATTTCCTCCTAAGTTTCAGCTAGCGGATTGTCTTCTCAATAGACATTGTCCTTCTAGCACACCAAAGAAACCTCTCCTTCACGGGAAAAGTTTTACTGAATTGCTGTGGTTTCAATAGCTCACTATTAAGAATTGGCTCAAAAAAGTTTTGGACCTCGATTTGAGTGCATAAAAAATTGTAACCCTGCACTTTTGCATACTCTGCATATTCTTCTTCAACCTTCACCACAAAGTGCTCTTCTCATTGCTTCAACTTAAAAATCTGTGATGCTTGCCGAAGGCAAGCAGTAAGCGCCGCAGGCCAAGGTAGGTGTAAACGCCAGGCGTGGATTGTCGTAACTAGCGGAGCATCGCGAAGCCTGTTACGACAAGACACGGTCTGGCGTACACCTACCTTGTAATTACTAAAGCGATAAGTACGCATTATTGTTGCACAAATTACTGGAGGTGCTACTGACAGTGTCAATACCCTGTACTTGAAGTCAATAGCGAGCCTGAGAGTGCTTAAAACCGAGGGGGCCACCACCCCCGTAATCCTGTGTACAAATTGGCTGGTAATCTCTGGTAATCCATGGCGTAATCACGTAATCCTTGACAAAATTCTGTCATTTTTCAACGTTTTTGAGCTATTTTTCAACGTTTTCGAACCAATTTTCGAAAATTTCACGCGTAATCCCTAGTAAATTTCCCGTAATCCCGTAATCTTGTGTACGCCTGAAATGAGAGTGGTGGCCCCCTCGCTTAAAACAACAAACTGTACGCATTTTGTATGCGGGTTCTCGGCATTAGCTTCACTCACAGCACGTTCGCATTACTTGTCGAACCGTTAACTGGAGTAGCTTGAGAAAATTTTGTGGTGGCTACAGACACACTTGAAACTGTGTGTTTGGTCATGGAGGAGGCGGTCTTAGTAACTAATCATTTTTCACACTTACACTCATTCCAGGAACGTGACATAACGTTGGAACGAACGTGACAAAATGTCACGTTCGTTTGAGCATTCGTGTCACGTTCGTTTCAACGTGATGTCACGTTCTGGGAATGAGAGTGTATTCATTCTAGGAGTGACATGACGTTAAAACGAGCGGCACAAAGTGTCGTACTCCTTTGATCAATTCGTTTGGATGTGAATCAGCCATAATTACAAAATTTACAATGTTAGTACCCCTTCTTTCTCGGAGATACCCCAATTCATTGTAAACATATACCAAGTGCGCTGTCTGCATTGAATGAAAACCTTGACACAACAATCATGTACTCGTATGTAATCTCTTTTTTTTTCACTTCTGCCGAGAGAAATCAGTATGATCAGGCAGTTGTGCTGGAAGCATTTGTCAATTTCCTCTTTGTTGAACGTTCAATGTGAGCCGCCATTCACCCTGCTCGTCTCTTTTTACAGAACGTGACACATTGCCCATTGGCAGAGCTGATTTATCCTTCTACGCAACGTCGGCTAGGTCCTTCTGAACTCATCAAATCTCAGGTTCGTCCCGTGTTGGACTGCTCGACGGTCCCTATCGATAGGCTCGTAAGTCCGAGCGGCGGGAACGTAGGAGCGCAAGTCCGTCCGCCCGGGACATACCGTCGTATCTCGCCCGGGTCGCGACGTAGCGCGCTATGTAGATACGGAATGATGCAAAGATAGCACGCTACACGGTGAAACCGATGTCTGGAAATTTCCAGACATTTTTTCCTATTTCCAGACATTGTCTGGAAATGGCCGTTTTTTTCCAGACAATGTCTGGAAATGTCTACTTTTTCCAGATAATGTCTGGAAATGGTCAAATCCCAGATATATATCTGGAAAAAAACCGGCATTTCCAGACAATGTCTGGAAATAACATTTTCCAGATAATATCTGGAAATTTCCCAGATAATGTCTGGAAACAAAGGCCTTGACGCCGAGGTCCACGGATTTGCGACCTGGGGGTCCCCGATGGTGTCCTCGAGGTCCCCAGGACACGAGGAGTCCAACGCCGAGGTCGCCGACGCTCTAGGACAAGCGGTTCCGGAGATACGAGGACGTACCACAAGGAGTCCGTCAAAGCAACTTTTTAGTTGGAGGCCAAAATCATCATCGGCCTCTGGCTGCGTTCCACTTGGGTGTCCGGGACTTTTCACTTCAGCATCGTGTTAAGGTAGTGCTAGACTACCAGGAAACCGTCAGAGGTCGCCGTCGGAACACCGGTGCGCCCAGGATGCCGACGTACGCGGCTGCTGTGCCGCCACACGGTTCAACACCGTTGTCGCCACCACCCAGGTGGTCCCCGATGGTGTCCTCGTGGTCCCCAGCACACGGGGAGTCCAACGCCGAGGTCGCCGACGCTCTAGGACAAGCGGTTCCGGAGATACGAGGACGTACCGCAAGGAGTCCGTCAAAGCAACGTTTTAGTTGGAGGCCAAAATCATCATCGGCCTCTGGCTGCGTTCCACTTGGGTGTCCGGGACTTTTGACTTCAGCATAGTGTTAAGGTAGTGCTAGACTACCAGGAACCCGTCAGGGGTCGCCGTCGGACCAACGGTGCGCCCAGGATGCCGACGAACGTGAGGCACGCCGGAGCGCCGTGGCGTGCCGGGTGCCTAAACAATCGTCGCCACCGCCGCGGCCGCTCCCGCCGGGTCCTCCGCCCCAACCGCGAGCTTGGACGACGGAGGCCGACGCCGTTGGCACCGACGCCGCCGACGTGTACGTCGACGCCACCACGTGCTTAGTCGGCCGTTAGTGTGCTCCAACGGGCGCTTCGGCCTCTGGCTGCGTTCCACTTGGGTGTCCGGGACTTTTGACTTGAGCACTGCGTTGGGGTGCTCCCGGGCAACCATGAACCCGTCAGGGGTCGCCGTCGGACTACCGGTGCGCCGAGGGTGCCGACGAAGTCAGGCACACTGGCGCGCCGTGGCGGGCAAGGTGCCTGAACGATCGCGTCGCCCCCGCCACCGCCGTGTCCTACGTCGCGATCCACAGCTTGGACGACGGAGGCCGACGCCCTTGGCGCCGACGCCGCCGACGTGTCCGTCAACGCCACCACGGCCAGGGCCGACGCCGCTGCCGCGTGCCCGGACGACGGCTGATGCCGCCGGCGTGTCCTTCGTCGCCACCGTGTGCTTTCACGGTCAAAGACGACGCCGTCGTCACCGTCGTCGGCCCTGGCCGTGGTGGCGTTGACGGACACGTCGGCGGCGTCGGCGCCAAGGGCGTCGGCCTCCGTCGTCCAAGCTGTGGATCGCGACGTAGGACACGGCGGTGGCGGGGGCGACGCGATCGTTCAGGCACCTTGCCCGCCACGGCGCGCCAGTGTGCCTGACTTCGTCGGCACCCTCGGCGCACCGGTAGTCCGACGGCGACCCCTGACGGGTTCATGGTTGCCCGGGAGCACCCCAACGCAGTGCTCAAGTCAAAAGTCCCGGACACCCAAGTGGAACGCAGCCAGAGGCCGAAGCGCCCGTTGGAGCACACTAACGGCCGACTAAGCACGTGTCGGCGGCGTCGGTGCCAACGGCGTCGGCCTCCGTCGTCCAAGCTCGCGGTTGGGGCGGAGGACCCGGCGGGAGCGGCCGCGGCGGTGGCGACGATTGTTTAGGCACCCGGCACGCCACGGCGCTCCGGCGTGCCTCACGTTCGTCGGCATCCTGGGCGCACCGTTGGTCCGACGGCGACCCCTGACGGGTTCCTGGTAGTCTAGCACTACCTTAACACTATGCTGAAGTCAAAAGTCCCGGACACCCAAGTGGAACGCAGCCAGAGCCGATGATGATTTTGGCCTCCAACTAAAACGTTGCTTTGACGGACTCCTTGCGGTACGTCCTCGTATCTCCGGAACCGCTTGTCCTAGAGCGTCGGCGACCTTGGCGTTGGACTCCCCGTGTGCTAGGGACCTCGAGGACACCATCGGGGACCACCTGGGTGGTGGCGACAACGGTGTTGAACCGTGTGGCGGCACAGCAGCCGCGTACGTCGGCATCCTGGCGCACCGGTGGTCCGACGGCGACCTCTGACGGGTTCCTGGTAGTCTAGCACTACCTTACACGATGCTGAAGTGAAAAGTCCCGGACACCCAAGTGGAACGCAGCCAGAGGCCGATGATGATTTTGGCCTCCAACTAAAAAGTTGCTTTGACGGACTCCTTGTGGTACGTCCTCGTATCTCCGGAACCGCTTGTCCTAGAGCGTCGGCGACCTCGGCGTTGGACTCCTCGTGTCCTGGCGACCTCGAGGACACCATCGGGGACCCCCAGGTCGCAAATCCGTGGACCTCGGCGTCAAGGCCTTTGTTTCCAGACATTATCTGGGAAATTTCCAGATATTATCTGGAAAATGTTATTTCCAGACATTGTCTGGAAATGCCGGTTTTTTTCCAGATATATATCTGGGATTTGACCATTTCCAGACATTATCTGGAAAAAGTAGACATTTCCAGACATTGTCTGGAAAAAAACGGCCATGGGAAAAAATGTCTGGAAATTTCCAGACATCGGTTTCACCGTGTACGTAGCGACCCGGGCGAGATACGACGGTATGTCCCGGGCGGACGGCCTTGCGCTCCTACGTTCCCGCCGCTCGGACTTACGAGCCTATCGATAGGGACCGTCGTGCTGGTTCCACTGAGCTTACACTTGTGCACTGTAACGCCCAGTCTCACTAGTTTGTACATTTCTGATCAACAGGGTACACATTTTGGAAGAATCGACTCAGATATTTCGTTTCCGGTAAAATGCCCGCCCAGTGCGCCATTTGCAGTCAAGTGTGCTTCTCGCCTTCAGCGCTAAGGTTGCATTTAAGGGTCGACTGCGGGGAGCAGCCTTTAGAGTGCACGGTCTGCAGGAAGATGATCAGGAATAGAAGAGACCTCCAAAGGCACCTCCTCACTCACATCGCAGAGAAGCGTTTTGAGTGCACGGTCTGCATGAAGAAGTTCAGTCAGGGAAGCCATCTCAAAAGGCACCTCGTCACCCACACTGGTGAGAGGAGTTTTGAGTGTACGGTTTGTACGAAGAAGTTCAGTCGAGGAAACGATCTCGAAAGGCACCTCCTCACCCACACCGGAGAGAAACCCTTCGAGTGCACGATTTGCAGGAAGAAGTTCCGTTCTGGAAATGAACTCAAGGTGCACCTCCGTACCCACACCGGTGAGAAACCTTTTGAGTGCATGGTTTGCACCAAGAAGTTCAGTCAACGAAGCACACTCAAAAAGCACCTCCTCACCCACACCGGGGAGAAACCCTTCGAGTGCACGGTCTGCAGGAAGAAGTTCCGTTCTGGAAATGGACTCAAGGTGCACCTCCGTACCCACACCGGTGAGAAACCTTTTGAGTGCATGGTTTGCACTAAGAAGTTCAGGCAAAGAGGACATTTTCAAAGGCACCTGCTCACTCACACAGGAGAGAAGCATTTCGCGTGCACTGTTTGCGCGAAGAAGTTCAGTCGAGGAGATGATCTCAAGTTGCACCTCCTGACTCACACCGGAGAGAAGCGTTTTGAGTGCACGGTCTGCACGAAGAAGTTCAGTCGAGGAAGCCATCTCAAAGGGCACCACGTCACCCACACTCTGCTGCCTCTTTCGGGGTGCAATTTGGTATCAGAATGAGCCGAAGTAGTTTCGGTTTTGTTTTAAATTTGCAGCCGAGAGGGTTGAAAAAATGATTTGTGTCACTCACATGAACCATGCACTTTGTTCAAAAAATGTGTTTCTTTTGACCAGAGCAATGCAATTTTCTTCTTAACTTGACCTGGATTTTGAAGCCCGGTAAGATCATACCATAAGTAGACTTCAACGAATCTCTGAACTCTTGTTTTTTAACATCCGCTGCTTCCTCAATAAAAAATAGAATCGAGTGTGGCTTCTATTGTATTTCCATACGCGCGCCCCCACTCTGGCACCCGGTCAGTTACGCCAAAATCGGCCTGTAAAGCAAGTTTCATTTTTCGTGCTGACTCCCCAATTATACTCATAGATACGGAATCGGCATGAGAAAATTAGCCCTGAGTAGGCAATTGTGAGATTAACTGATAGGATCTAATCTATAGATTTGAGTGTTGATGATTTGAGTGTTGATCAACTTTGTATCAAATGGACATCTGCTCGTCACAATTACGTACTCGGTATAAACTGTCCCTGCACTCTGGAAACCTTACAAGCTTAATAGCCCTTACGGATTAAAGTAGCAGCTTCGTATAACAAAGTGTTTCGAGCACACGTGAGCTTGCAAAGAAAATAGTTCACATAATTCACGAACCATTTCTTTGTATAACAAACTTAATTAGTTTGCACTTGCACTACGTATGCTGAAATCACTTCGTAACGTTTCAAGCGCGTGGTTTTCCGAGGAACTTCCTGGATATCGCTTGTCATTACCATGGGCTTCCAGGGAAAACCAGGAACCGTTTTTACCGTGTATTCACTGCAAATCCTGTAGTAAGTTTTCTTGCCAAATTTTGGCATTCAAACCGGCTTGCCAAATTTGTGGCAAGTGAACTTACCACAGGATTTGCAGTGAATACACGGTAAAAACGGTTCCTGGTTGGCAAGCCGGTTGGAATGCCAAAATTTGGCAAGCTTTGACCTGAAATCTTCTAAAGATTTCCAAGTTTTGGCAAGCTAGGAAGTATTTCCGGGCCAAGGCTTCCAATTTCTTGGCATTCAAAACGGCCTCCCAAATTTGTGGCAAGTAAACTTACCACTGGATTTGCAGCGTTACCCATAGACATTAAAACTGTGAGCAAGTTATACCAATTCACGAATCTCCCACCCTTCCCCGCAACCACGCGCGACTGCGACAAAGAAGCACGTCCCGTCACGACACATGAGCCGCCGCCTCCGCAGACTTGCTTGTTTGCCGGTGCATCCGATACGCGTTCCCTCGAGGTCCCCAAAACAGCGTAACGAGGAAGGCGGAGCTATTCGCGGTGGCGACATATTTTAATAAACATCACGCCACGCGCGCTGAGTGGGCAGGCGGGCCTGGGCACCGTGGGCCAGAAGACCGCTGGAGGCGGCCAAAACTCTAAACGCGTTTTGAGCTCCAGAGTTGCTAAACAGGCCTCGAACCAACGTGTGGCATCACCAATCGATTCCCATTGGAGGCAATCATTCACGGATTGAGGAATTACCCGCTTAAACTGTGAGCCATTGACCATTCACAATCTCCCACCCTCCTGCAACCACGCTGACTGCGACAACAAGCACGTCCGTCACGACCATGACCGCGCCTCCGCAGACTTGCTTGTTTGACCGGGCATCCGATACGCTTCCCTCGAGGTCCAAACAGCGTACGAGGAATGGTGGCTATTCGCGGTGCGACATATTTAATTATACATCACGACCACGCGCGCTAGTGGGCATGCGGGCCTGGCACCGTGGGCCAGAAGACGGCGAGCGGCCAAAACTCTAACGCGTTTGAGCTCCAGAGTTGCTAACAGGCCTCGAACCGAGCGTGTGACCCCCATCGTTTCTTCCTTCGGAGACCAGTCCATTGGTGGGGTCACACGTTCGGTTCGAGGCCCCCCCTCTAGTGACTCTGGAGCTCAAAACGCGTCTAGAGTTTTGGCCGCCTCCACCGGTCTTCTGGCCCACTGTGCTGGGCCCCGCCATGGCACCGCCACCGGGCAGTGAGGCGGCGCGGCCACAGTGGGCTTCCATTTATAGCAGGCGCCGCTAAATGAGCTTGGGGAGCAAGGCCGGACTTCGCAAACGCCAGAAACACAAACATTCACACACGCGCGCGTACCTCGCACCTAACCGCAATGTATTGATGTGCAAGGCTGAGGGCATAACCTCACATATTTGGACACGGCGCGGCTTGATGATCAGTAACCAGAATGAACGGCCTACACATGTATCTTCTCTCTCTCTCTCCCGTGTGTGTGTGTGTGTGTGTGTGTGAGCGTGGGTGTTTACGCTTGTGCTGAAAGGCAGTGTAGGGCTCTGCCAACCCGACGGAAGCATTACCACGGGGATACATTTCCGCGTATGACGCATCATTTTGACACATGCTTTCGACAGCCACGCATTTTAAAGGGCTTTCTGAAATATTTGTACGAGTTGCTTCGATTTGCCCTGTACAATCGCCAGTGTCCTGTGGCAATGCTTGGTACGGAATCGCAGCTAGTGGCCAGGAAAGCAGGTCGCAACGGCACCTCACTGTATACAAAGAAAGTTTAGTTTATGTCAGAATGCGCTTAGAATGGGGAAAGGGGGTGCAAGGCACCATCTTGAGGCTTGACACAACCAACGCACGACTTTGATGTTCTCCCCAGTGGCATTCAAACTACAAAACTCAGTCTATGTTTTATTATAAAGAAGTTATCGCAACGTTTCGCAGCAATGATAATTATTTTGCAATAATTCGGCAAAATAATCTCCAACAAAAGTGCTCTAAAAGAATCATCGCATACATTAAGGGGTGTTTATAGCGAAATATTGCAACACCTGAACTACACCCCTGAATGAGATCAATCGTAGGATTCGCAATCTCTGTTATAGCGCAAAATTTGGAGTAAATTTATCGCAAATTGATTGACAATGGCTGGGTACACTGGTGGGTGACGAGGGAGGCGAACAACTTCGAAAGATGTTTCTACTCCCTTGTTGCTAACTCAAATAATTTGACGCTGCTTCAACGTAAATTATTCAGGTGGACCGTACACCAAGATTCAGGTTATTTCCCCATCGGTCGGTGGACGATTATCAAAGAATGGCCCGAAAAGGTTATCTCTCAAGGTTTGCAGCGGCCAGGTGGCGGGCAACTTTGGCAGACACTGGCAGTGTGCCTCGTCCTTATTGATTGTCCTGGCCACTCATGTGCAAGCCAAGGCGAGGCATAAATAAAAGTGCCACGTTCCCAGGAGTGTGACCGTTCCACTTTTACAGCGCAGCGTCTCGGCGCGTGCGGGGCGGCCGCCAGCAGGCTGATTCCGGGCGTCGTCTTCGTCGCTCTGTCTCTCTCGCACTCACGGGTCGCACCGTGCAGGTGCGAGAGAGACAGAGCGGCGAAGACGACTCTCGGAATCAGTGTGCTGGCGAGCACGCGGGCCGTGCCGAGGTGAGTCCCCCCGGTAAATCATTCCGCAGCTCCTCCTGCGTGATTTAAAACTCTTCGAGACGCCGAGCTGCGCAGCCAACTCGACCTCCGCCGCCTAAATCTACGTGGCGAAAAGTTTCTCTGCTCCGTACGGTGACAAGGATCAGCGAGAACGGGAAGGGGCAGCGCGCCGCTCGGTGCTGCCAGCGGGCTGACTCGGAGAGTTCGTCGCTCTGACGCTCTCGCACTCGTGGGGCGTCCCTGGTGCGAGAGAGACAGAGCGGAGACTCTCGGAGTCAGCCCGCAGAGGGCAGGGCTGGGGGAGGGGGCGTTTCAAGACGATGCATAACCTTTGGCCCGTGCCTACAAGGGCCACGGCGCGCTACACGCCACTGCACGCGGAGGGAGGGGCAGCAGCGCCGGCCAAACAATTTCATGCCACATTTCACTCAGTCCGAGCCGCGCGGGCTGCGCGAGCGACGCCCCCGTCGGGCCGCATTGCAATGACCAACAGACTCGGCTTCTTCTTTGCCTTGCGGACGGCCTGCAGACCGAGAGTCGCTTTCGTCGCTCTGTCTCTCTCGCACTCCTGGAGCGTCCCGTGTGAGTGCGAGAGAGACAGAGCGACGAAAACGACTCTCGGAATCGGTCTGCTGGAGAAGACGGAAGCGGAAGCAGCTGGCAACACCGCCCCTTGGCGAGAACCTGCAGAGCCACAGTCTTCCGCACGGATGTATGGCATCAAAAGGTTTTCCAGGCGGGCCCTACATTCTCATTTTTTTCTTATTTTCATAGGTGGGCTGTCTGTGGTATGTTTCCCGGAAACAACGATTTTAAATATGAAAGAAAATGGAACCAACACGCTAAATTACTATGTATTTTTTTTCCGTACTCAGCTGTTCTACAAAATTGAACGTGTCCCTGGAACACGAATTTATACGCTCACTTGCGTGCTTAGTTACGCACCAATTCGTGCATTTTAAAACGCATGCACAATTTTGTGCGAAGCTGATGCACAAAGAACTGCAAAGTAGCTTGAAAATGAAACAAGTCCCCTCATTCTTGAATGCGAGAGAATGCCCCGGTTTAAGTCGTCAAGCTAAAAACTAAAATATACCTACGTCAAATTATTTTTTCCCCTTTACAATTGGCGTAGTTTTAGAATACTCGATCATTCACGGCCCGTCTGCTCGAGCCTTCTTACTATACGGAACTGTGTTTGGACCCTGGAAGTGCAGCCTGCAGTAGGCTCCGATTTCTTCCGCCATCACTTTTCGCGCTTCTATATTTCGCGGGCTGAGCCGTGGCCGTGCGAGGATTATGTAATTGTATATCGTTTGGGCTTGAGCACATCTCGCGCCGGGCTCGGATGGAATTATGGCAGACCGGATTAAAACTTTTTCACTTGCCCCACCGTGAGACCGCCTGATGCTTTTGCAACAAACAACAAGAACAATAACACACTGTGCACCCAACAATACCCCATCCACTGCGAGAAAAAAGGGTGCAGGCTTCATTCGAGTTGGTAATCTTCAGTGCAGTGTTGCGCTTTTCTATGTCCTGTATTGTTTTTTTTTTAAAAACGCCCACCCTGCCCCTCCCCTTCTCTCTCTCCGCCCCCCCCTCTCTCTCGCGAGCAAACTTGGACACGTTTTCCCGACATTACTTAATCAAGTTCCCAAAGCACGGACTAGGGGGCTGACCTAGGCCGAGCCAGGTTGAATTTCATACAATATTCATACCAAAACGACGTTAGTTTTTCCTTAACGCTCTCGTAAAAGTCACACACCGAACGATCAGTCCACCTCTCTCCATCTTT